CTCTTCTCTCTCTCTCTCTGCCTCTAATCAACCGCCCCCTCTTCGCTTCTTCTCTCCTGGCGTTTTCCCTCGTCCTTCGTTCCTCCCCCTCCCTTCCTCCCACTCTCCCTCGTTTCCCCTTCTTCTTCTCGCAGGGCCCGTGCTAATTCCAATGGCGGGTACACGTCCACGAAGGATTGTCCGCCCGTTCAGGTTCGCCCGCCTGTCTAAGCCCGCCGCCCCCCGCAAAGAGAAACAATCCCTCCAAAGGAGGTGTGGTGGAAGACAGAAAGGCGGGCATCGAGGGTGTGGGGAAATCGTTTTGAATGACACACGGGCAAGTAAGAGCGAACAGTCTTATAATCTTTGTTGTTGTTGATGTTGATGTCGATGTTGTTGTGAGCGCGCCAGTGGGTGCTCCGGTACTTGAAAAGGGTGTGCGCGTGCGTATTTACAGAACCTTCCCCACCTCAAAAGGGAGCTGAGATTTCCGGACCACCACCACCCTCCTTTCTTTAGGGGGGGTCGGAATCCCCCCTCCTGGAAAGGAGGGGCGAGGGGTTTTGGACCCCCGCCCCCCCCCCTTTGCGTTGGAAAAGAAGGGGGGGGGGGGGGGGACGATTTCGGACCACCCTCTTCCTCTGGGCAGGACAGGGGGTCGGGGAGAGGGCCCCTCCCGCAAGAGGGGGGGGGTCTGGCTTCCGGATCTTTCGATCCCCTGATTTCCGGACATTTTAATTCTTCCCCAAGGTGGCCTCACGAAGCCTTTTCAGAGGAGGGGGGAGGAGGAGGAGGAGGAGGAGGAAAAGGAGGAGGAAAAGGGGGAGTAGTGAGGGAGACGCGGACAATGGCCAGTAGTGACTAAGACTAATCATCAGAGAGTAGTGAGTCGTGTTGAATAGTAAATTGTTACTAGGGAATACGGAGTTGGGGGTAACGAGGAGTGGCTACTGAATGGTGAGTAGTGACGAATAGGGAATAGTGAGTAGTTGAGAGTTGTTAGTAGTTGGTAGTAGTGGACACTGAGTAGTGAATATTGAGCAGTGAGTAGTGAGCAGAGATCAATGAGCAATGGGTGGTGAGTAGTAGGTGGTGGCTAGGGAATAGTAAGTAGACGGTAGGGAGTAGTGAGCAGTGAATAGTGTCAGGTGAGGTTTGAGTAGTGAGTAGAGCGCATTGAATAGTGAGTAGTGAGTACAGAGTAGTGACTAGTGCGTACCGACTAGTGAGTAGTGAGTAGTGAATCGTGCGTGGTGGGTCGTGAGTACTCAGTAGTGTGTGGTGAGTTATGAATAGTGAGTCGGGAGTAGGAACAAATGAGCCGGAAGTAATGGTTAGCTAATACGGATGAATGAGTAGTGATTAGTGAATTGCAGGCAGTGAGTATCGAGAAGGCAATAAGGACTAGTGAATCGTGAGTAGTGAGTTATGGGCAGGGAGCACTGAGTAGTGAGCAGTGTGCACCGAGTAGTGAGCAGGGAGGAGTGACTAGCGAGTGGTGAGTAGTAGAGGGTAGGGGGAAGTGAATGCCGAGTAGTTAGTAGCGAGTAGAGAGTCGGGAGTTGTGCGCAGTATTGCTCAGTGGGTAGTGAATAGAGGGGAGTAAGTAGTGAGTAGCGAGAGGATCTCAGTGAGTAGTGAATGGTGGGTAGTGGTTATTGGGTAGTGGGTAATGGGTGGTGCGTGGTGTGTAGTAAGTAACCAATAGTGAGTAGTGAGTACAGAATGGTGAGTAGCGAGTCGTGGGTAGTGAGTAGTGGGTAGTGGGTAATGGGTAGTGAATGGTGAGTGGTGGGTAGTAGGAGGACGGAGTAGTGAGTAGTGTGTAGTGAATAGTTAATAGTGAGTGTTGAGTCGTGAGTTGTGAGTGGTGAGTTTCGAGTAGTAAGTAGTGAGTTGTGAGTAGAGAGTAGTGAGTAGTGAGTCTGGAGCAGCGAGTATTTGAGGAGTGAGTTGCGAGTAGTGAATAGTGAGTCGTGAATAGTGAGCAGTGAGAAGCGAATAGCAAGTAGGGGGTACTCACTCGTGAGTAATGAGTAGTTCTTAGTGAGTACTGGGTAGTGAGCAGTGAGTGGTAAGTAGTGAGAAGTATGAAGTGATCGGGATAAGATTAGGGTTAGGGGTCAGGGTAGGGCTTAAGGAGATGGGTTCAGGGCGGTAAAGGTCGGGTCCTTGTGGAGCCAGTGGGCGGCGCGGCGACAGGGGGGGAAGCAGGGGAGGGTCCGAATTTTGAGTCCAAAGGGACGGGAGGGGGGGGTCCGGCCCCTCCCTTTCAAAAGGGGGAGGTCGCCTACGACGGACCGCGAAGGGGGGGGGGTCCCCGACGACGGACCGGGGAAAGGGGGGGGGTCCCCGACGACGGACCGGGGAAAAGGGGGGGGTCCGACCCTCCCCCTTCCCTTGGGGCATCCAGCGGCGCGCCCTCGTTTTTGCTGTTGTTGGTGATGATGATGATGATGGTGATGATGGTTCTGATGATGCTGATTCGGATGATGGTGGTAGTAGGGTGAGGAGGAGGTGGAGGAGGAGGAGGAGGAGGAGGACGTGGAAGAGGATGAGGAGGAGGACGAGTAGGAAACAAGCCGTCACACGTGACAAGTTTCGTCTGCATTATTTGAGGAGCTCGCATGGAGCTCGATTGGACCGTCCTTGAGGCCGCCTTGGCCTCCTGTGAGGCAGTCTTGGGGGTTCCTTGGGGCCCTCTTGGGCCGTCTTGGGTCCTGACGCCGTCGTGGGGCTCTTCGGCCGTCTTGAGGCCCACGGCGGCCGCATGGTGGGTGTCTGGCGGCAGTCGTGGGGCCGCTTTGAATGCCTCCTGGGCCATCGTGGGTCCTCTTGGGCCACCTACGGGCCCTCGTGAGCAGTATTGGGGCCATCGTGGAGACCTCTCAAGCCGTCTTGGGCTGATTGAGACCCGAAAAGGCGAGGTCCCGAACATCATTAGGCACCAAAGGGAAATCAATGATGTTGGCTTCTTCGGACCCTGGTGGAGGTCATCTTGTTGCCCTTACGGCCCTCTTGGGGGCATCTTGGTCGCCTTGGGGCATCTTGAGCGTCCTTGAGGCCATATTCGGCCGCCTTTGGGCCATCGTGAGCAGTGGGCCATCTTGTTGGTGGCCTCGGTAGTGCGGGTCCATCGCTTTTGGTTCGGGATCGCGTCCTCGGAAGTAGGGGTGTGCACGCCACCAGATGCGAGTAGAGGGGGGTCCCTCAGTAGAGCACAGACCCTACCAGGCAACACTTGGCATTCGACCACGCCTCAAAGCGCCAGAGGGCACTGCGGAACACAGATAACCTCGGGAGCACAATGCCATGTACTTGACAGAATAATCGTGGCTTCATGAGCGCATTGTCGTTGTAATTCGCAGAGGGTAGTAGCCTCGGGGGAACGCATCTGTCGAAATGTTCGAAGGCTTGTGGCCTCGGGAGCCCGCACCTGGTGCACGTTCCAATGTTAGGGTGCCCAGAGATTGCGCGTCTGCACTCCGATGTACTACGCAGTGTGGCCCCAGGAGCGCGCATGCGTTGTTCTTCACGGAAGACTATGACCTCGCGAGCCCGTGTGTATCGTCATTTGCAAATGATTGTGGCCTCGGGGGCGCGGATGATTGCAATTTCCAGGTAACTGTAGCCTCGGGAACCCGCATCTGTAGTAATTCCGAGGACGTGGATTCGGAGAGGGCGAAAATGACACTTCTGAGCCGAGGGGGCTCGCGCGTTCTACAACCTTCAACCTCGAAGCGAGGAGCCGTATTTGTAGAATCTTAGATTATGGAACAGAGGAACAGGCCTGGAATCTGAAGCGAGTGAGTGCCCAATCACTCCCCACGAATCGCTTCATTGCAGCAGTGACATCTGAGCCTACCAGGTGCTCACACCTGGCCTTTCCAGCCCGATGGCCGCTACAACGGGGGCTGGCGGATTGTCGGCCGCCCAGTGCGCAATTTATGGCGCAACCAATTGCAGGCTGTCATGTTCAACGAATCGCAGGCGTTGCATTGTCGACCGCCGGCCGCGCAACCTACATGAGGCCGTGTTATGTTTGGCCGCCGAGTGCGCAATTCATGGTGCGTAGGCTGTTGCGCAACCAATAGCAGGCTGTTTTATTGTCGACCGCCGAGTGCGCAAATAATGGCGGAACCAGTAGCAAGCCGTTTTGCCATCGTCCGCCGAGCTCGCAACCCATTGGGCATTCAGGTGAAGGATGTTTGATTTCCGACCGCCGAGAGTGCATTGCTCATATTAGAGCAGCGGCCGAGTGCGCAACTTGTGGCGCAACTATTGCGGGCAGTTTTGTTATCAACCGTCTAATGCGACATGTCAGGCTCAACAGTCGGCAGGCCGTCTTGGTATGTACCACTGGGTCCGCACCCATGCCCCAGCCATTTGCAGCTTGTGTTCTGTTTCGGCTGCCCAGTGTGCAACTTGTGGCGCAATTCGTTGCGAAACCTGAAGATGGTGCAAGCCATGGATGGCGCAGCCCATGGCGCGACCCAGGGATCACGAAACCCGTGGCCCGACACACGGATGGCGCACCCAATGGATGTCGCAGTGTATGGATCGCGCAGCCCACGGCGCAACCCATGGCGCAGTTCGCGGACGGCGCAACCTTCTGGCGCCACCCGTGAAGGGGAGAACGGCGCAACCCGTGGATCGCGCAGCCCATGGCGCATCCCATGAGCGCCATAATTTTGATGAAGCCACAACACTGGGCGATGCTCATGGATCGCGCCACCTACGGCGCGCCGCGTGGGTGGCACAGACACAGACACAGACACAGACACCGGCACTCACAAACACAGACACAGACACACACACACATACACACACATACATTCACGGCGGTTCCTGAAGGGCTACGCCCGATGTCTGTTCGCCGTTTGGATTGGCGGCTAGGCCCAAGCGGCCAGTTGCTCAGTGATTAATTTCAAGCGATTGCTTCCGGCCCAATTTTGGTGTTCCATTGTCTGCCCGATATGTGTTCAGTCCAGTGTTAAATTCTGTCTGGGTCGAATGGGCAGGAATCGGCTTTCGAGCACGACCACAAGGAGCACTACCACGACCGGGTGCTTTCAGAGGAAATGGCGTTGATCTCACACATCAGACAGCCGATTGTGACTTGCGAAGGTTGCATGTGGTGCCCAGGGAAGGTAATACGACAACCTTCACCTGTCACCATCCCCATGTCGTTGCGGTGTATGATCCTTTCCCTTCTCTCCGCTTCTCTCTGCGGTTGTTGATTATTTGGTCCTTCCCCTCTCTCGCTTTAGTCATCTTGCCTTCCCTGAGCGTGAGCAGTGGCCTCGAGCAGGCCGACGTGGTTGAACGTTGCCAAGATTTGCCGATGCTGCTTGGGCATGCGGGCAGTTGCCTTTGGGAACCGACCGTATGCTTGTGAAGCTTGGATGCATGTGTCAATTTCGGAGGGCTATTACATCAGGAACTCGGTTCTACGGGGCATTTCGCTTCGTGGACTGGGCCCCCGTGGCTTGAGGCGCTGTCCATGGGACAAACGGGTCGACGAATCCCGTCGTTCCCCCAAGGTATAGAAGTCTCGGGCTGGAGTACGAGCAGCTCGAGCAAGATGGTCAGCACTCTGTCATTTGTGCGGCGTACGCCATCCGCTAAGCCCGCCATACCCTCTGACTAACAGGTTTGCCTTGCCATCTTAAAGCCTCACCGCTGCCATGCCAGTGCAATGATGCATTTCTATGCGCTATGCCTGTATTCATGCTCTCTCCTGTCTTCTTGCTGTCTTCACCCTGCGCTCTGCTCCTGCTACCCCTCATACATCTCTTCCACTTTCTCGTCCATGCCCCTTCGCTCCGTCTCTTCCATCCTCGTTCTTCCCCTCTCTCATCCCTCTTTCCTCCTCTGTCTCCTCATTTCTCTTTCCTCCCTCCTCCTCTCGTGCATCTTTTCCGAACGTAAAGCTTGTCTTCTTGCGCGTCCTCTTGTCTCTTCCTTTTTTTGACACAGAAAAGGTAGGTTGCATTTGGGCTGCTGGGAGGACGCCCTTTTGTCGCGCCTAAGCTGGCGATGGATGCGTCCTGCTGTGGAGCAGGTCCCCCTTGCAACTCCAAGGGTGGCGATCTGGCCTGCTTAGAAGCAGATCCCCCCCCCAGTCACCTGTAGGGTCGGTGGCGACATAGGATGCCGTGGTGCTCGTCCCCACTCGTTTCCTGTCGTCATCCACACAAGGTGCCGACATCCAGGTCCAGGAACCAGTCCAGCGCCAATGCCGGCGGTCCCGCCTGCAGGCCAGCCAGAGTACAGACTTTTTGGACGCAGTTTGGCGAGATGTTGTCAGTCTTGCAGAGTCAAGTCGTTTCGAGCAGAGAGCCAACAACCGTCCTTCGACAGGCTCCAAGTTCAGAAATTCGTTACGCTTCGCGTATTCCTCCCTGCCCATTCAGAAACATTGCATATCAGAGCTGACGGGAAAAAGGGACCAAGCGACACATACAGTGAAACAGAGCGAGCAGCCAGGATGAACACAGAGATCTCTGGAGGGCGAGGAGAGGAGGAGGAGGAGGAGGAGGAGGAAGAGGAGGAGCAGGAGGAGGAGGAGGAGGAGGAGGATCGCCTCTTGGGGCCCTCGTGGGACGCTTCTGGGGCGCTCTTGGGCGCTCTCGGGGCCGTCGTGTAGCCGTGTGGAGGCGTCTTGGACCCCTCTTGGGGCATTCTTGGGAGCCCTGGAGGGCCATCGATCACAAAGGGGGGATCCTCGATTTGCCTCCCCCCTCTGGGGCTATCAAAGTCGAGTCTTGGGGCCCTCTGAGGGCGCTCTTGAGGCCGTCTTGTGCCTCTTGGGCAGTCTTGGGGCTCTCTTTGGGGCTTCTGAGGCCGTCTTGGGGCGCCATTTGGGCCTTCTTCGGACGTGCTAGAGCGTCGGAAGCTCGGAGTCGTGGAGAACCCTCGAAACATTAAACAAATAGGGAACATCAGTGATGCTGGCCTCTCGTGGCCCTCTTGGGCAAACGCTCGGAGGCCTCTTGGGTTGTTTGGGGAGTTGTTTTTGCCGACGGGAGGCCATCTTGGGGCGTCTTGGGCCGAGTTGTTCGGCGATTGTGGGCCCTCTCGGCACCGTCGATCTTGGGGACCCTCGGGGCCCGTCTTGGGGCCCTCGTAGGGCCGGGGGGGCACGCCGGGCCCCCTGGGAGAATTCTCCGGATCAGGCAAATGACTTGAGCTGGGGACACTCCAATTCGCTCTTCAAGGGCACGATGGCGGATTGTGTAGCATGGATGTATGCATGTATGTATGCATGTATGTATGTATGTATGTATGTATGTATGTATGTATGTACGTACACACATATACATAGTGTACCGGTGTGTGTGTCTATGTATACACGCCAGTGGCATGTGGGTGCCCAGGCTTCTACAAACGCATGTGCAGGATGTCTTTGTGTGGTGTATAAGGTCAATGGTGCGTGTGTTGTGAGGTTGTGCATTGTGTGCGTGTCGTGTGTTATGTATGAGATATGTGTAGGTCACGTACACTATGAGTGTTGTGTGTGCTAGGTGTGTGTTGCGTGTGTGTTGTGTGTGTTGTTTGTGTTGGAAGTGTCGTGTGTGATGTGTGTTTGTGTGTGGTGTGTATGTGTGTATGTGTGCGAATGCGTGTGTGATTGTTCTGTGAGCTGTAGGTGTTGTGTGTGTTTGGTGTGTGTGTGTGTTGTGTGTGCGTTTTCTGTGGTGTGCGTTATGTGTGCATTATGTGTGTGTGTGTTGTGCGTCTGGGGTTGGTGTTGAGAGGATGTCCAGGAGGAACATGCTGTTTTATCCCATGATCGCGTTAACGAAAGGACCAGTTTTTTGACGATATCTCCAGCGAGCTACAGTTTTAAACAGTTTGCTGCCCTCGCCTCTGGTTGAGTGGGCGCGCCAGCATTGGGCCAGCAGCCAAGACGCTGCCGGTGCGGCGGGCGAGACCCGCAAGGGCCCCAAGAGGGCCCCGAGGAAGCCCCAGAGAGCCCCGCGACGGCCCAAGATAACCCCAAGAGAGCCCCGAGACGGCCCACGACAGCCCCGACAGGCTTTCAAGAAAGCTCCAAGACAACCCTAAGAAGCCGCCAGCAAAGCCCCACGACGGCCACCGCCCCCCGAGACAGCCCACAAAGGGCCCCAAAACGGTCCAACAGGGCCCCGCGACTGTCCAGGACGGGTTCAAACAGAATCCAGAAACGCCCACTAACAGGGACTCGCCTCCCGCTCCATTCGTTCTTCGCCCTCCTGAACTCGCGACTGTTCCAGAAGCGGGGACCCCAAGGGGTCGACGGACTCGGGCCTATTAGTTGGATCCCAACACTAGCGATAGACTCAATTGTTCACATAAGGCTGCGTTCGGATCCCTTAGCGCACGGATGGTTGCGCATCTTTACCATGTTCAAACTCACGTATGCATGACGTTCGACCTGGTTATCCCACAGGTTGTGTTGTCTGAATCTTCAGTCGGAAGATAGTTCGTTCTTCCCCTGCAGTTGTCCATGCCCATGCGGTTGCCTTCGGACAATTCGACCTCAGGGGGGCCCTGCAGGATCAAACGGTCTCCCAGTAAAACCCAACAGGCATTCCAAGTCCACCGGGGGCCCCGCGAAGCTCTCGCGAGATTCCCGGAGAGCGCCCCAAGTAGGAGGCCGCGCAACAAAACATGAAAATTATAACAAGGACTCGAGAGTGCCCGGCACTCAGTGCGAGCCCCGACGCGAAGCCTCCCGCTTTTCATTGCCCGGCGACACAGGGCCCGCGCCCCCCAGCGAGGGGCTGATTCGCGCCCCCCTCCGCACCCCGCAGACGGCCGCAGCCGTGGCTCCGAAGTCGACTGGCCGCCGTCGCCTGCCCTCCAGGCAGCCCACGCCGCGCAAGCTGCCCGTGGAAGGAACGCCCATTCATCGCAAGCAGGCGCGCGTCGCCTCCGAGAGTGAATGCGACCGCGCCACCCAGGCGCGTAGCTTGCTGGCGCAACACCATGCGGACGATCTACAAGGTGTTTTCGATTTTTTCTATATATATATAAAAAAAAAAAAAAAAAAAAAAAAAAAAAAAAAAAAAAAAAAAAAAAAAAAAAAAAAAAAAAAAAAAAAAAACACGACGACCACGCAAAACCGAGCGCCGCTCTGGCGCGCTTTCGCGCGAATCGCGGCATCAGTTACACCCGGGGCCACTAAGAAGGCAGCAGGCACGAGCGGGAGGGCACCACAAGCGCCCCCAACCGCCAAGCTGCACGCCCACAGGCTGCGGCCGCAACGGCACCATGCGTCAGCCTAGACCAAGACCATTGGTCTGCAGAGGTCACCCTGACGCCCACCACAGGCGCCCATTGCTTCGCCTACCAAGACGGCGCGTCTCTCCGCGACATCGAAGCTTAAGATGGCGACAGGATCCCGAAGCCAGTGCGGGGCAGGGTTCCCGCCCAGACGCGGCCATGGCCATCGCCTCTCTGGGCCCAGTCAACCCTGCCGACGCAGGCGCTGCCGACGCCACCCCCGCGTTAATGCGAGGACCCGCAGCGGCAAAACCAGCGCCTGCCCATATCGGCGGGGCGCTGTCCCAGCTTGGCACCGAGGAGGTCCGATGCAAACAAAACGTCGTTCAGGTCCAGCTCGGCCTCGAACGTCGCGTGGCCGGGGCGCGCGAAACCGATGCCACCGCTGCCGCGCCGTCACTTCACCAGCCCTTCGAGGTCCAGTTTTCTGGGGCCGCCCCGAGCAAGGGGGGCCCCAGGCAACGGGGCAGCAGAGGGGGCGGCTCGGCGCAGGACCGAGCCACGGAGAAAAGCAAGCCGTCAAAGAAGGATGAACGACGCCGTCAGCTCGAAGCCGAAATTCTGGACACTCCCACAGCTGCATGCCGCAACCACTTCCCAGCCGCCAAGATCCTCGAGCCTTGCGAAGCCTTCGGGCGCTTCGGCTCGGGATTAGGCAAGCGATTCCTAACGGTCACCTCTGGCGTCGCGCAGCGAGACGCAGCCGCCGCGCCGCGTGCCCCAGGGCGCGCGGGGGCCGCGCGCGAACCAAGCAACCTGGGCGCCAATGCGCTCACCATGGACCAGTGCCAGACAATCTGGTACCCAGACGGCCACGCGGGAACGCTCGTCGACGCCTGCGCCACCTCCGCAGAGTTGGCGGGCCATGTTGCCGTGAGTGAGGGCAGAAACGGCGGCCCAGGCATCCGAGCGCCGCGCGATTCGTATATCGCCCGAGACATTGCCCCATGAGTGCGTGGCGCTGATGCATTGTTCGCCAATGACCGCTGCAGGATCACTGGCATTGAACCCAAGTGCGCAGACATTGCCCAGATCAGCAAGATGCTAGCGGCCCTCAAATGGACTTGCGAAGTCTACCCCGCGGCTTGGGACGGGGGGCAACATCCCACAATGCCCTCGCCCGATCCCGCGCACCGCCGCCGAATGCCACAGTAAAGGCCCAGTAGTACACCGCGCTAACGTCGCCGAACACCTCGTACTGGCCTCCGCCCAAGGCGCCGAGGTCGCAGCCCCCCCCCGGCCGCCGTCGCAGCTGCCACTGCGGGGGCCGCCACTACAGGCAAGGGCAAGACCGATGGGCCTCCCCGCACGGGCGGGGCCCCCGCGGGGCCGGCCTC